CTCTCCGGCTAAGGGCTTGTGAAAGCAATTAATTTTAATGACTTTCGTCTGAGAATGTAGGGTATTGAATTTCATATAGTATAAGAATATATTCAATTTGTTTAGAGTTAGTTTTTAGTCGAATTTATACCACCGAACCGAAGGAAACTGAATAAAACTTTTAAAGTCACATTTGTGTATTTTAATACGAAAGTAATTTTTGTAATAGAAATTTAATTTTGTATTCTTTCGAACCAGGAGTCTCTTGCGATAATTAATCGTAGGACATTCCAAACGTAACAAACGTACATGTATGTACAACGATTGTTTTGGGTTTCCGTATAGTCAGTTTTTTGTCCTCTCTCCCCCAAGAATCCTTGGGACAGACTGATAAATCAGTGTGAGATTTTGGACGCATCCTATTCACCTGGGGTAAATCCGTACTTGTTTTACAATCTGACATCGCGGATTTAAGGGGTAAATTGGCATTAAAATACCACAACTGCCAGGCGGGTTGGTGAGCATTCGCAGTATCATAGCCGGTAAAATCAACTTGATTACCTGCACTTGGAATGGCATTTTTTGTGATTTGTCTTAGTACAAAACACGACACAATTTATTGATTCTGTTTGTTGAGAATTTTGTAGTCAGCTTGAGTGCGGTGATTGGTAGATTTATACCTCTATAGTTGGTAGCGTCTTCTTTGTTTGTTTTTTTTACCATAGGCTATCATTATGCCATTTCTCTATGCGTCTGGTATCTGGCACTATAATATTATTTTTTGGACAAGTTTTGTTATCTCTAGGGTTATAATACTTTTTCCTCTATATTTCAAGAGCTCATTCGTTATTCCGTCTTGTCAAGGTGAAATTTTTGAGCAACTGTATGCTTTATTTATGCAATTAGTGTGTTAGTGTGTTGGTTGCACCAAGACAGATGAATCCTCTATCGATTTTTAAAGAAAGGTACTACGCAAAATATTCGGAGCGGTCTGTGAAAACTGAAGGCGTAGAGACGCACAAAATAAAAAAGATCATGATAAGAATAAAATAAATTTAGCCCAGAAGTCATCGGATGTCAAGAAAATCCTTACATTTTATAGAGTCGGTAAAGCAAACCAAAATGAAAGTTGTCCTCGCATGATAAAAGTGATAATGAGTTCTGAACACCACACTCAAAAAATTTTTCGTAACAAAAATTAACCTTTGGATAAGAAATCTACTAAAACTTAATTTTGTTATTGATGACAAGACACATATGCAACAACTTCGTTTAAAGAAACTTCGTACTGAGCTTGAAAATCGTAAAAATAACGGAGAAAATGACCTTACGATCAAATATGTGAATGGCTGTTCAAAGATAATGCAAATTCGTTCATAATTCTTTAGCACCAACATTTATGGATTGGCTTCATATGTATACGAATCTAAACTCTCTTAAGTCCAAATTTAATGAATGTATAAGTACTGTTCAGCTTTTAAAACCTCATATTATTTCTTAACAGAAACGTGGCTTAATTCCTTCTATCCCTGATGCTATTGTAAACATTGATAATTTTACTATATTTCGTAGAGACAGAGGTACTCGTCGAGGGGGAGGAGTAGAGTATGCATCTATTTAGCAAATGAAATTACCAATACTTTTTTCATCAGTAATAAAACAATAGACGTACCCGGTATAGAAATGATCCACTTATTTATTACTAATAACTCTTTCATATTTAATATAGTTTGTATATATACCGACCTCCGCATACAGTACTTACTCAGGACAATATGTTTATTGACAAACTTGAGAAATTATCATCCCTTGAAAATCTTATTGTTATTGGAGATTTTAAGTTTCCAGAGATTAATTGACCTATCTCCAAAACTGATAGGTACCGTTCGCGTCATAAAAAACTGGTAAACTCTTATAACCGAAAATCGTGTTTTTCAAGTTGTGTAAGTTGATCTTGTCACATGTGTCATTCTAATTTCTAGGACAACGTTGCTAGTTCAACGAAAACAAACCAGCTAAAAGCAGGGCTGTGTGACAGACTGCAAGTTTGGAGTATACTAAAAACTTAAGTACCCATACATTGAGTCGTGTTTTATTAAGTATAATTTATGAAAATATTTCAATTAAAAAATAATGGTAGATAATAAATCTCGACAGGTCTTTAAATTATTATGTTTAATTTCAAATCGAGAGGTGTGATTGGCTTCACGTAAAGTGTAGCACAAAATTGTGGGATACTTGAATAAATAAAACACACTAGAAAAATTAAAAATTTTATTTGAAATTAATATCAAAAGAATAACTTTCACAGTGAACAATGCCTTATTATCATTTATACATCGTAAATCACTTAATTTTGAAAAAAAAAATACGCACCTTAAGGCTAGGCGCACACACATCGAATTTGGACAGTCGATAAAAGTTCGATTGAACAAATTCCTTTGGTGGCGCGAAGAAACAAATGTGAGCGGGCACACACATCGATCGCCAAACGGCACGGCATCGATGTCGTGTGGCGATCGATGAATGTCACTGCATGGACGGCTGCCGTGGTCGTTGCCGTCGTTTCAAGGCGTATAATGGGCGTATAGCAGGGTTGCCAGGTGAAAATTTTTATCCTCCCTAAATTGAACATTAAAATATCCCTAGAAATCCCTAGATTGGAATAAATGTATATATGGTTGCCTAATTCTGAATAAAATGATGGGATGTATTGATGGTTGCCTAATATAATAACATGGATATAAAAAAGGTTGAGTTTACCGAAAGTACAAGCTGGTTATAGCCGCAAATGTTAAACATGGAACAAAAATATAAAGCTTTAGAAAAGTACATTTTGTTTATATTATGTTGTGCATTCTGCAATTTTTGTTTTATATAGATCAACAATGAGTAAATATTTGTTTCTTTGGAGATTAATTTCAGTTAATTATTATAATTTTTTTAGTAATTACCCTTTGGTAGATTAGGGGATAGATTTGGCAATCATCAAATCAGCAGTTGCCAGATTACAACAGATGTTTGCAATTAATCTCGAAAGAGACAAATATCTACACGTTACTGCTTAACGTGCTTAACGGTATAATCAAAATGTACTTTTTAAAAGCTTTATCTCTTTATATTTGAAACATACAATATATTATGCATTATAAAAACATAAAAACACTACCAAGCCGAAATCTTTTTGACATTTGCTGCTATATTCAGCTTGTACTTTCGATAAACTCAATCTAAAAAAATAATTGTTGTTTTATACCTTTATTTCAAAATCATTACGTTTTTAAACGATACAATAGCGGTGATTTAAATAAATTTAACAAAAATGGAATAACGTACTTATTTATGGCTTTGAATATTCCATTTAATATATTATTAAGTATAATTCACGTAATAAAATTAATACAAAATACCACTTGAAGAGAAATTAGACGGTGAAGCATAGAATTTTATTGATATATTTCCACGAATCCTGGGATTCACCCGATTCCTACTGTAAATCCCCTAATTATTTTATAAAATCTAAGATTTTTGTAAAACCCCTAATTCTTGCTCCAGAATTTGCTTCTCCTTTATGATAATATATAGGAATCTATTTTTGGCAGAAATCTATTTGGTAGCATAAAATAAAAATTCCAAGAACGAGGACATTTAGCGACATCTGATAATAGAATCCTTAAGTAGTTTACTAGTAGTTTAATTATTTGTAATGAAATGAGAGATCGCTTCTTTAATACCGGTCATACGAAGTGGTTTTACACCTGAATTAAAGAAAATATTATTATAATAGGCCTATGTAGGTAAATATTTGAGCTGGTCAAAAATCCCTAGATTTTACAATAAATATCAAAAAAATCCCTTTGTCCCTTTTATACTGAAATATCCCTAGATTCGGGATAAATCCCTAGACCTGGCAGCCTTGGCGTATAGTACCAAATGAACGCGCGCACACATCGATCTTTGTCGACCGACCAGAGGACCAGTTGCGTTTTATTGACATTGACACTGCTCAAGGTACGCCGCTCCGTGTTGCTACATGGTTCTGTGTTTCTCATTGTGATTTTGTGTACTCCATCTAACAAACCTTTGTGGATTAAAAAACGTCATCGAATAAATATCGTGTAGTGTGCGCGCAAGGCATCATCGACAAAAGTTCGGTCGAACTTTTATCGACCGTCCAAATTCGATGTGTGTGCGCCTAGCCTAACGGGTGGCATATTAATGCATATTAATGTAAAAAAGTAATAGTGTATAGGTAAAAGTGGATTTCAATTGGAGTGTAAGTTCAACCTCCAGTGGGACATTACAGTGAGATATTCGATTGTAATGTAATACCGTCTCGTTTTGAAAAGTTTTTTCGTCGCGAATGTTTCATAGTTTATAGTAAGATAAACTATAAAAGATATGACACTAAGATATATATAAAAACATATAGTCGTCAACTTAGTCAAGATCGGACGACTTGTCTGAACATGTATTTTCATGTAACGTTTTATCCCATGGACGTATTTTTATCCTATCAGTTCTCGTAAAACTATGTTTCTCCCACCATGTCTGCGATCTGACCTTGGATTTAATTTCAATTCGACAAGACGTACATTTTGCTGTTTACATGCCACGTTTTAATGTATAGGATTTGTCCTATCCAACAAAACGTACAATAAGATGTAGCGTGAAAACCGGCCTTTAGAACGGTCGCGGTTTACATCATATCTACATCACTCCAGTAGCGCACCTAGAATTTTCCAGTGGGGGGTTTTGGTTGGGCACCGAAATTTTTTTATGCCACCTCCATTATTTTGAGTGCTTAAAATTTGTGAGTAACAGTGTCGGAATAGTGCCCCCCCTGCATCACTCTAAACTATCATCGATAATTGGAAGTATTTGCAGTTTATGATTTTGCAGTTTATGATTTTGCAATTATGATTTTCTATAATGAACTTTCTGTTTTGTGTGATGTATGAAGCAGCTGCAAGCGTAGCAGACAAAACTATTAAATCTACTAATATCTTTATATTTTTTAGATCCGTCCGAAATTAAAGAAAAAGACGATAAAAAATGTGATTTTCCATATGCGTCTGATTTAGTCAAATTTATACGAGAACTTCACGGAAATTTTTTTTGTGTTGGAGTAGCCGGTTATCCTGAAAAACATCCACAATGTGAAAATATTGAGAAAGACCTCCAATACTTAAAGTTTAAGGTAACAACACAAAAGTACAAGCTAATGGAAATATACTCGCACAAAAAATGTCTAAAGAACAAATCTAATATTCCTGTTTTTTCAATAAAAAACCAAATATATCTACTGTTCATTCAAATTACATATCATCAGTTGGCGCTACAGCCCTTCGTGAGCCTTGGCCTGCTTCAAAACATTCCTCCATCCTTCCCTATTGAGTGTCTGTCTTCTCCAGCCTCTCACTCCAATCTCCCTCAAATCTTCCTGTACATCGTCCAGATATCTGAGTTTAGGTTGCCCCCTTCTTCTTCTTCCGACCGGCCTGTTTAGCATAGTTATTTTAGTGGGATCACTCTCATCCATCCGCATAACGTGGCCCACCCACCTTAGGCAGTTTATTTTGATGGTCTTCACAATATCTGCATCACCAAAAAGTCAAATTACATATTCCCAACCGTAATTATAGCGCCTGAAAGGCAAACAGGGTCTTACTGAGGTGCACCATATAATTTTTAAAAATCCACAAGAAAACTAAATGCCTGTAGTTGGTTGTATACCATATATCACACAAATTTGATTTAAAAAATCCCTTATAAAAGGTATAATAATAAAAACCCTATCGGGCTATAGCACAGAACGTTTTCGGAATAACTATTCCATCATCAGTGCTATCTGGATGTATATGTTTGAAGCCACTATATATGTGGGGAAAACCCTTTAAATGTAGTTTGATTAACTTTGAGTTACATCTTTAATGATTAAAAACTATGACGTTTAAGTTACAAAAGGAATTGATCACCTGGCAGCGTAATACTCCACTGTGGTTGCTAGTCCTTAGACAAAGTGTCTCTGAGGACTTGTTGCTATTAGCAGTATAGTTACTTACATAATCTGGAGCGGATAATAGATTTTAAATCCTAGTCATTTTATTAGTATGTATTCCATTAAACATTAGGTATAAACCTATTATTTATACATTGTTTTATTTATAGGTAACACGCGGTGCAGATTTTATCATAACCCAAGCATCTTACGATTATCAAAAGTTTTCAACTTTTTCTCAACAGTGCCACTTGATGGGCATAAATGTTCCGATTATTCCGGGCGTATTTATTATAAGTTCCCAGAGGACCCTCACTGCCATGTCAAAATTTTGTGGAGTTCCAATTCCCAGAAATATTCTTGATGCTGTTGAGGCTATAAAAGACGATGATGACGATGTAACAAAGTTCGGTATCCAGCAAGCTACTGAATTAATAGAAAAAATTTTCGAGAATCAGCATCTATTTGCTGGAGTCCATATGTTTTCTTTAAATAATTTAGAATTAGTAAAAAGTGTATTACTGAAAACAAGAATAAATTCAGAGCATTTGCTTCCATTAAATGCATAAGCAAACAAAACTTTTAAATAAATTTTAAATATTACAGTGTATGTGATTTGTACTTTAATGTTAAATAATAAATATATCGTCATACCTTTTCCCAAAGTCTGTTACGATCGACGATTTGTAAATAAGCATTGAACAGAAGTTATTTAACTAATTAGACATAAAATTAATATAAATATTATAATGAATAAAAAATAGATTGGCATTGCTATAGTGTCACATTGTGGCCTAGTAGTTCTGTACCATATTGTAAGTAGTAAAAAAATCTTTCTGCCTTTCAGCAAGTCAGAAATAGGACTGCAAATAGTAGCAAAATTGTTACAGCAAAAAAAAAGAACCTACAGTAATAACCAATTAAGCCAATCAACCGACGTATCTGGGTTGTATTTGTGGGTATTCCAAAATAGACTGGACCTTACCAGGATCAGTTCTTAACCCTGGATCATCCACTACAAATCCAAGGAATTTGCAGTGAAGATCTGCAAAACTGGCATTTCTCAAAATTAACAGTGAGATTTGCATCTTTCAAACGTTTAAATAGCATTTTCACAGTTTTGATATGAGTATACATATCAAAAGAATCGCAGCATATCCAGGTGCTGATATTGCATCCGATCATAATCCGCTAATAGCAGATGTGAGGTTAAAACTAGCAAAAATTAAGAGAACAAATACAAATACCAGCACACCTATAAATACAAGAGAACTGATGAGAGACGAAAATCTGAAGAATAGTTATGCGAATCAAATTAATGAAAGAATGCGAGTAATAGAACAAAATGATGATATCGAAGAGATGGTCAATGATATTAAAGGAACGATTCTGTCAGCAAACAGGGAAGTTAAAACACAGATCAGAAAGAGAAAGCATAACGAATGGATGACGGACGAAATTATGGATCTAATGGAAAAGCGAAGGCAACATAAACAACAACGTAATCAAGACAAATACAAACAGATACACAAAGAAATCCGTCAGAAAATTAAGAAAGCAAAAGAACGTTGGATGGTGGAAAGGTGCAACGAAATATAACAATTGCAGGAAAAAGGAGATAGTTTTGGACTACATAAGAAGACCAAAGAAATATCGAATATACACAAAAGCCACCACAGAACAAGAATACGCAACGACAGAAACGAATACATAGAGTCAGAAGAGGAGATAGCAATGGCGTGGAAAGAATACGCAGAAAGCCTTTTTAGTGACGAAAGACCAACACAACCAACGCGCAAACTTCCTTTCGAAAACTTATCAGGGCCATCAATAATGCGAAGTGAAATAGAATATGCAGTTAGAACCACAAAGATGCATAAAGCAACAGGTCCAGATGAAATTAATATAGAAGCAATAAAACTACTAGACGAGGAGAATATCGAAATCTTGGTAAGGCTGTTCAATAGAATTTATGATACTGGTTACACTCCGCGAAAATGGCTGCAGTCATCCTTTGTGATGATCCCAAAAACAGCTAATGCCACAAAATGCAATGAACACCGCTTAATCAGTTTAATGAGTCACTGGTTGAAACTCTTCCTTAGGATATTACACTCAAGAATGTACAAGATACTAGAAGAACTTAGCGGGTCAACACAATTCGGTTTTAAGGGAGGACTAGGAACAAGAGAGGCAATTTTATGTTTGAACACCTTAATACAAAACTGCTTAGATCAACGAAAAGATGTCTACCTCACCTTCATCGACTACGAGAAGGCATTTGACAATGTTAAACATGATATCATGATGGAACTACTACATAGGGCCAACATTGACCAGGAGATCAGAATTATTCAGAATCTATACTGGAACCAAATGGCAAAGGTGAGGATTGATCAAGACCAATATACGGATGAATTTGAAATCCGGAAAGGTGTCCGCAAATATATTTCCGCAAAATATATTTGCGGAAGCATTAGAAGATACGGAATTAGGCATTAAGGTGAACGGCATACCAATTAGCAACCTACGCTATGCGGACGACACAGTGATTATAACTGATAATTTGGAAGATCAGCAGTTATTACTTGATAGGGTGAATAACATAGGTAAAAAATATGGCCTCAAAATCAACATTTTGAAAACGAAATATATGGTCATTAGCAGAAACCCTCCAGAAAACCCGATAATATGCATAGGTGACAATCGTATAAATCGCGTGAAAACTTTTAAATACATTGGCACCACAATCAATGACCAATTGGATCCACAACACGAGATAAAAACCCGAATACAAATGGCAAGACAAGCTTTTGTGAAATTCAGACCGCTCCTATGTAATCAACACCTAAACTTCGAAATACGCTACAGAATGGTCAAGTGCTACATATGGTCCATCTTGCTTTATGGCATGGAAACGTGGACTTTGAAAAAAACATCTATCAACAAACTTGAAGCATTTGAAATGTGGTCATTGAGAAGAATGATGCGCATACCTTGGGTGGATAGAGTTCGAAACGATGACGTCCTTAATAGAGCCGGGGTGGAAAGAGAACTCTTTGAATTAATTAAAAAACGCAAGATTGGTTACCTTGGGCACATATTGAGAGGAGCAAAATATGAAATACCACAGTTAATCCTACAAGGGAAGATCGAAGGTAGGAGAGGAGCCGGCCACAAACAATTATCCTGGTTAAGGAATATTAAAGAATGGACAGGAAATCACAATACAGGTGAGCTGTGTCACGCCGCCAAGAACAGAATTCTAGTAATGAGATAGTCGCCTACGCACTTTGGTGTATGGCATGTTAAGAAGAAGAAGATACAAATCTGGGGTTACAACGATAATATCATCAAGATAATAGAAAACATAATGTTCTAATAAAGGACCTTTAACTGAGTCCATGACTCTACACATAGCTTGAGTATTATTATTAATACCGAAAGGTAAAACATTAAAACAAAATAAACCTCTATTTTATTATTAATACCGAAAGGTAAAACATTAAAACAAAATAAACCTCTATTTTGCATAGAAAAAGCAGTTTTTAATTTAGATTCTTTATCTAAAGGAATTTGATAAAAAGCCTGTTTAAGATCAATAGAAGATATGAACTTAGCATCTCTTACTTTAGAAATAATTGTATCAATTAAAGGCATAGGATAACTATCAGGAACTATAACAGAATTAAGTTTCCTACCATCGAAACAAACTCGGTGTGAACCATCTTTCTCTGGCACAAGCCATAAAGGAGAAGACCACGGTGCACTGGTAGTACTTCTATAACTGTAAATTTAAGTATTTCATCCATTCCAGCATTTAAAACCTTGCATTTACAGTTATATATGATGTGTATATAGATGAGTTCTACCAATGGAATCTGTAGAACCTATTTCTTTAAACAACTTAATAACAGAGTTGAGTTGTGATTGCTGAATGCCAGAAAGATTTTCAGAACTGATAATAGTATTTACTACACAAGCAGATAAATATGTAGCTTTAAATGAAAAATTTAAGAAATCCAAAGAAAGTTGAAATAAATTAATAAAATCCATACCTAATAATCATTTTATGTGAAATGGAAGAAACTATTAACACTTAAGTGATTGAGTTTTACTCAATAAAGTAACAGGTAGCCAAACATATCCTAAAGTACTCTGAATGTTATATAAATAGAAATATATGGTCTATTATCATTAGTATGAACATCTAGTAATGGACCAGAATTGAAATTACCTTAGAATTTAAAGGACTACTAGAAGAAAAAGGTGCATAAATTATCATTAGATATAAAAGGAGAAGCAGTTTTAGGTTCCAATTTGCTTAGAAACACTCACTGACTTTGGTTGTTTGAACGTTTTCGAAAAGTATTTCTTGGGATGTTCTTGCCTTGGGTTGATGTTTCTGTGACAGACGTTTTGCTGCTTTGGGGCATGCAGTATATCGAAGCTCGACATCGCAATCCGTTTTTTGGACATCTCCTACATTCATATGTGGTGATATTCTTAAATCCACAACCATGACCAAACTTTCCGTCGAGTTTATTGCAAACTTCAAAAGTATGGCCTTTCATGTTGCAGTTCCAACATGTAGCAGACGAAGAAAGAGACTCAACAGAACATTTGCTACGAGACGAAATAGTGAGAGCAGATTCAAATCTCTTACAATACTTTGTAAGGTCTGCAACTGATTCCACATCCTGGAAAGCAAGAGCCTTGACATAGTCAGGAAGAAGACCAATAATGATTTCATCCACTTTTTCAAATTCAGGAATTGATTTTGAAGACCGGAGTATCAAAGACTCTATATAAGAAATATATGCAGAGACCCGTTGTCTAAAAGACTGTTTTGTGGAACGTATTTGTTCCCACAAATTTCTTTCATAGTTATATGGTAAATAAGTTTCTTTTATATGTCATCGTTAATATATATATTTCTTTTCCTTTAATTTCTCTCAGTTTACTTTTGTTTTTTATTGTTTCTTTGTTCGTTGTGTTTAGAAGATGAATTAGGCAGGCTTTATTTCCAATTTTCCTTGCACTCAACCGTAAGCGTTAAATGGGCACACCCGCGCGATAATCGACTAAGATGAAGGCCTAAAATTAAGCACTTTGTTTACTCTCTAATGCCACGTTGCCAAAAACCTATTTATTATATATGCCTGTGAAAAATAAGAGTAGAGACAGGCCAAGACCGTGGTGTAGACGAACACGCGAGGAAAATTGGTTAGACAAATTGTCAACGATTTAAATAAAAAATATAATTACTTTGAAATTATATACATTTTATTACTAATTTTTATCATTTTTATACACAATTTGGCCTAAATTAAGAAACTTAACCTATATTAGGTACAACAAAAATGAACTAAACGTTACAGTGGCAAATTATTTTTTAACCCAACAAAAGATGTCCACAAAAAACATTTACCGATTGTTTGACGTAAATATAAATTAATATTTAAATTTTATGTACATGTTATCTTTGAAGGAGAGTTAAAAAAGCAAAAAATGTTACATATTCAATATTTGATAAAATATTACGTTTGTATACCTTAATTGTCCAAGATCAGTGTCCAAAATAATGTGGTTTACGTACGAAATATATCGATATACCTAACATCATTATCATATTTAAATAAGTA